ACGTCAGTGTTGACCGCTCCATCAGAACACAGCAATGGTGAGTACACGACAGTAGATGACGAGTGAGTGTCTTCGTATGGGCGTGAGGCAGCGGGAGGGAAAGAGAAAAAGCCGGAGAGTGGGAGAGGGAGAGACATTTTAGAGGGGAGTGAGAAGGAGAGATTTGACTTTTATTGATTTTATTGATTTGAAAAGCCTTTGGTCCATACATCCACACATTATAACATATGACTTGACAAATACATAAATTGGTGCAGCACATTAGATAAGCTTCATAAATTGGGCACGCACGCACACATGCACACACACATACACATACACACAAACAAACACACACACACATGCACACACAAGCGCTGGGGCATGCATGCATGCATACGTACATAGGTACATACGTACATACGTACGAGTACATGCCTACATTGAGAGGAAGAGAGAATGAAAGGGAGAAGAACAAGAGAGCGAGATGGAAGAGGAGAGGCAGTAAGCGACAGAGAGTGGAGAGAAAAATATAACAACTACAACAACAACAACTACAGCAACTACAAAAACTACAACAACAACAAAAAGTCTGGTATTATTTTGCTCCTATCTACGCCGTTTAGATCATTTGGGAGGAGGGTTTCAGACCCTGCCTGTTAGGGCCAATCCGGACTGAAAGGAATACATCATCGCAGACAAAAGGTCGTGATACTCAATAAAACTTTTCTCCTGTCCGGAATCGAATCCTGCGTGCTACAGCGGAATGCCTAAGACTATACCACAGACTCCAGTCATACGAACAAATAAACAAACAAACAAACGGTAACAGCATGCACCTTCTCCAGAGCGTGAGCTTGCCCTCACACAAGCAAAAAATGAACAAACAAACAAACAAACAAACAAACAAACTAACTAACTAACTAACTAACTAACTACCTACCTAACTAACAATTACCACATGCACCTTCTCCAGAGTGCCAGCAGGGCCTCACACACACAAACAAACAAGCAAACAAACAAACGAACTGACAAACTAACTAACTAACTAACTAACTAACTAATAATCACATTCACGTTCCCCAGAGTGTGAGCGCGGCGTCAAGCGCCATCACCCGTCCCAAGCGAACGTGTTCCAGGTGTTCACCAGAAAGAACTACCGGAAACAGTGGATAGACTACACATGTCCCGAGTATACCATCTTTGACCCCAGGCTCTGCGCATGTGTGGAAAGCCGGAGGTGAGATACATGCTGGGAAAAAGGGGCAGGTTTTTTCACCTCGTATATATTATATCGATTGATAATCATGTCTTATTACCAAATGAATTTGAAAATCTGCCATATTATCTCACAGCTCGTACTTCTCTCTGTCTCTGTCTCTGTCTCTGTCTGTCTCTGTGCCCCCCCCCCACCCCCATCTCTCTCTCTCTCCCTCTCTATCTCTCCCTCTCCCCCTCCCTCTCTCTCTCTCTCTCTCTCTCTCTCTCTCTCTCTCTCTCTCTCTCTCTCTCTCTCTCTCTCTCTCTCTAAGATACAAATACGACAGAATTTGATTGCTTGTAATTTATATTACTTTGTTAAAATAGATGTAAGCGTTTTTTGTGCCCCTATCAAATCAACTCGAACCATTTAGCTAGCGAACTCCCACCGTGTTTATCAGGCCCAACCCAGTCACAGGGATACAACATCCAAGCAGAAAGACCGTCGAAGCACTCGATAAAAATTCTCCTCACACAGGAATCAAATATCAATTGGTCACTTTTTGAGCACAAGGGGAATATCCCGAAAAATGCTGTTCGGGAAAATCGAGTAAAGTTTTTGCCTCTATTTCAGTTTCTTTGACAGTCAAGGAGAATTTTCTCCATAGCAAAACAAATATACACACCAATGAAACCAAAGTTGGTGTAGGTCAAGATTTCTGGAAACACACGAACTCTGGGTTAGCCCGTTTGTCCATAAAAGTGATCAATTCAGGTTTTCTGGGTGAGACAGTGAAGTGCCTAACTGCTACATCAGAGATCCGGGTATATTATATGATATTACTTCACATGCATACAGAGAGATCATAGATGATACATGTATATTACCAACGTGATCCGAATCTTGATAAACACAAGCAGTCTTCTGTAAACCATTTACGATACTTTCTTAGGTCGGAACCCCATCGGCAACAAATGGACTCAACTGGCATGAACCCGGGCCGGGGTTCAGGAGGAAAAATGAACTCTAACCAAGGTCAAGGTCAGGGTTATGGCCAGGGTCAAGGACAAGGCCAGAAAATCCAGCCGGTGAGTAGTTCTGTACCTTTTTGTTGTGACCTTTCAAAACAATCCCTTGTGGGAATGTTGGGGAGTGTGTGTGTATGCGTGTGTGTGTGTGTGTGTGTGTGTGTGTGTGTGTGTGTTTGTTTGTGTTTATGTATGTTTGTGCGTGCGTGTGTTTGTGTGTGTATGTGGGTATGAGTGTTTGTAATTGTGTGTGGGTGTGCGTGTGTCTGTGTGCATGTTTCTCTCTCTCTAT